GCCTTCCCCTTCTCCCTTTCCCTTTCCCTTCCCCTTCCCCTTTCCCTTTCCCTTTCCCCTCCTCCTTCCCCTTCCCCTCCTCACTATCTCCACCACACATTCCCCTTTGCATCCCTATCTGCAGCAGACGCACAAAGCCGAGAATGATGACCAGTGGTTTTAAAAGGCCACTTCTACAGCGACAGGTGTATAAGTTAAGACGCCTTTAGCTGTCTCGCTAAGGCGGAAGAGGGAGTGGCAGTGGGTGTGGGAGGGGGAGGGAGAGGAGGAGCAGGGGGGAGGAGGGGGAGGAGGAGGAGGACAGGGAGGAGGAGGAGGAGGAGGAGGAGGAGGAGGAGGAGGAGGAGGAGGAGGAGGACAGGGAGGAGGAGGAGGAGGAAAAGGAGGAGGAAAAGGAGGAGGGAGTGAGGGGGAGGAGGAGGAGGAGGAGGAGGAGGAGGAGGAGGAGGAAGAAGAGGAGGAGGAGGAGGAGGAGGAGGAGGAGGAGGAGAAGGAGGAGGGGGTGGATGGGGGGAGGGGGAGGAGGGAAGGAGGAGGAGGGGAAGGAGGAGAAGGAGGAGGAGGAGGAGGAGGTGGGGAAGGAGGAGGGGAAGGAGGAAGGGTGAAGGGGAGGGGGAGGGGGGAGGTGCTGGTGTTTGTGCTGATTGATGGTGATAGTGGTGGTGATGGTGGTGGTGGTGATGGTGTAAAATAATAAAAGGAAACGGGGAAAATCGGAAAGGGGGAGCAGCAAAATAGAGGAAGGCGACCGAAAACCAGCAGGAGCGGCGCCCGCGAGAGAGTGACGGGTGACAGCGCCTTGGCACTCGGCACCACCCGTGACATACGGCCCTGAGTGACCAACGCGTGGCAGGCGAGTGGCACAAACGGCCTCGAACTGGACCTGGCACCTGGCACTAGCTACAGCTCGCCGTCTGGCCGCAGCGTTATCGCCCCCCCCCCCCCCACACGCACTTGGCGGACGGCACTCCTGGCTCTCTCCCACACATGGCACCGCTTATTTCCGAGTGCCACTGAGACCTCATCAAATTCTCATGACCCCCCCCCACACCCACCCTCTCGTATACACAGACTGGAGAATGAATCAGACTATCAGGACTCACATGTGGACAGACACGCATACGTAGGCACAGAATGTCGGTCTGTCCGATGCCAAAATAAATGAATACGAACGAAAATGAGGGTGAGAGTGAGAGTCAGTGCGAGAGCGAGTGAGTGTGAGAGTACGAGCAAAGTAAATATCTTAGTATCTTTCCTCCGTTCCTTCCTACTCCCTTCCCCTTTCCTCCCTCCTCCCTTTCCTATGCTCCCCTTTCCCTCCTTTTCTCTCCCTCCCCGCTCCAGCTCCCTTCCCCTTCCCCCTCCTCCCCTTCTCCCCCCTTTCCCTCCCTCCCCGCCGCTCCAGCTCCCTTTCCCCTCCTTTCCCTCCCTCCCTCCCTGCTCCATCTCCCTTTCCCCCCCTTTCCCTCCCTCCCCCCCCCGCTCCATCTCCCTTTCCCTCCCCCTCTCTAAAAATAAAATGATATTCCCACCATCAAATCCGCATCAAAAGATAAGGTCACTCTGTCCCTCCGACCTCACTGCGCCGAACGACCTCCCGCCACCTACTCCCCGTGGGGTTGAATACCTCGGCGAATATTCAGTGGCGACAGATCCTCTCCTTCCCACATACCACACACCTCGCGTCTCCCTTTCCCCCCCTTACCCTTACCCTTTCTCTGAGTTTTCATTTTCCTAACCTCTCCAACCCCCCCCCCCCCTCTCTTCCCTTCCTGCTCTCCCCTCTTTATTTTACGCCTATCCCTTCCCCTACTATCCTTCTCCCCCTCCCCCTCCTTTACCTTCTCTTTATCCCCCTCTCCTCTACCTCAATTCTCCCCTTTACCTATTCCCCTCCCTGATACCCCTACCCCGATTCCCTCTATTCTAGAATAATCGCTAATCATTTCCCCCCTTCCCCACCCCACCCCACCACCCACCTCCAATCAGGCCACTCCCTCCGTCAGGAGCTTCGTCATTAGTCGTCGCCCACGTCACTGCTCCTCCTTTGTCCCTTCCTTTCTTCGCCCGTCTGCTTTCTCTGGCTCTGTCTCTCTCTGTCTCTCTGTCTCTGTCTCTGTCTCTGTCTCTGTCTCTGTCAGTCTCTCTTTCCCCCTCTCTTTCTCTCTCTACCCTCCTCTTACCCCCCCCCCTCCCTTTCTCTCTCTTCCTATTTGCTACATTCAACACCTGGAACATGTACCGGTGCATAATCCACCCTGGTCGCTCTTCCATTACTAGCTGGATGATGGGAAGAGGATGGGGAGGGAAAACGGGTAGTGAAGGAGGGAAGAAGGAAAAGAAAGAAATGAGGGAAGGGATGGAGGGAGGGGGAAAAGAAGGGAGGTGTTCAGAGAAGGGAAAACGTCGGAAAGATGGAAGAAGAGAGATGAGGAAAGGGTAAGGGAAGGGGAGACAGAAGAGGAAGCGGGAGGGGAAAGGAACATGAAAGGAGGATAGAGAGAGGAAAGAAAGAAGGGGAAGACAAAAGGAGATGGGTATAGCCCACCAGTCCACAAAACTCGGCAAAGAGTGCGCTGGGGGAGGGGGGAAGGACCATGGATGGAAGGGGGGGGTAATAATGAGGGAATTTACCAAAATTTCTACCAACTGCTCTGCTCTTCTTCTCAGTCTTCTACCCTAAAGAGTCTAATGATGCTCCCAGACATGGTCATTTGTAGGGATAGCAGAAGGGGGAGGGGGGGCTCAGGAAAGGGGGGGGGAGAGGAGAGGAGAGAAGTGGAGGGAAACGGGGAGGTGGGGAGAGAAAAGGAGGAGGGGTGAAAAGCAGAAGGGAGAGGAGGGGAGGGGAAGAGAGAGGAGGGAAGAGGAAAAGAGAGGAGGGGAGAGGAAAAGAGAAGAGGGAAGTATGAAGAGTTGAAGGGAAGTGTAGAGGGAGAGGGGAGATAAAGAGAGGACGAAGGGGAGGGGAGAATGCAGACTCTCGAAGAAAACCCATACCCAAACAATCAAACCCTCAATGAAATAAACAAACAACCCGCACACGTCACCCAGTTAATAAACAAAACACTTTTAAAACCTGTCTCTCCCTCTACCCCCCCCCACCCCGCCTTCCCCAAACCATTCCTAAACGCCCATTGGCTGATCTACAACAAGTTTCCCACCAATCAGCGGAGCTTTCGTGAAAAGTTTAAAAGGCTTCGATACCTAGACCATTTCAAGCGCTTGTCTCTGATCTACTTTCCTTCTCTTTCTTTCTTTCTTTCTTTCTTTATCTCTCTCTCTCTCTCTCTCTCTCTCTCTCTCTCTCTCTCTCTCTCTGTGTGTGTGTGTGTGTGTGTGTGTGTGTGTGTGTGTGTGTGTGTGTGTGTGTGTGTGTGTGTGTGTGTGTGTGTGTGTGTTTCCTTAAATAGAGGAGGGAGAAGGGAGGAAAGAGAAGTAATAGCTGAAGATGGGAGAGACTAAGGGGTGGAGAAGAAAGAGGGAAGGGGAAGAGGGAAGAGGGATGGGGGAAGAGGGAAGAAGTAAGGGGGAGGGGCAAAAGAGAATGAGGGAGAAGAAAGGGGATGGAGGAAGAATACGAAAAAGAGAAAGAAAGAAAGAAAGAAAGAGAGAAAGAGAGAGAGAAAGAGAAAGAGAGAGTGTAATCTGCCCCTCCACCTTCCTTGCCTCCCTATCCCCTACCCCTCCCTCCTCCCCTCACCCTTGATGGCCTTAGTTCATCACAAAAATACGAAGGACAAGCGACGTCTTGCATTTGTTATCCTTCCCTTAGCATGGGGACGGGGCTCGCGACCTCGGGGGAGGAAAGGTAAGTGTCGGGAAGGGGAGGAAGGGGAGGGAGAGAAGAGGAAGGAAAGGTGGGGAGGAAGGGGGGGGGAGAAGAGGAAGGAGAGGTGGGGAGGAAGGGGAGGGAGAAGAGGAAGGAGAGGTGGGGAGGAAGGGGAGGGAGAAGAGAAAGGGGAGGAAGGGGAGGGAGAAGAGGAAGGAGAGGTGGGGAGGAAGGGGAGGGAGAAGAGAAAGGGGAGGAAGGAGAGGTGAGGAGAAGGGAGAGGTGGGAAGGAAGGGGAGGAAGAAGAGGTAGGATGGGTGGAGAGGAAAAAGAGGAAGGAGAGCTGGGGAGGAAGGGGAGGAAGGGGAGGAAGAAGAGAAAGAGGAGGAAGGAGAGGTGGAGAGGAAGGAGAGGATGGAGGAAAAGAGTAAACTGATGGAAAGGAGAGGAAGGAGAGGAGGGGCTTGGGAGAGGATAAGCAAAGAATGGTATAGAAAAGGAGAGGATGAGAAGAACGAAGACGGTGGAAGAGGAGGAAGAGGGGGGAGGGGAGGGGCAGGAGGAAGAAGAATACTGAACCAGAAGGAGAACTGGAACTATCAGTGATTACTCCCCTTGCAGAGGGGATGGATGAGTACAGAGAGGAGGCCAGAGAGGCGAAGCAGAACAGAAGTGGACAAGAAAAAGTA